AGATTAAAGAAATCACACGAAAGGGGGTCCCCTTGTCTGAAACCTCGTTTGGTATCAAACGGCTCGGAGAGGTCCTTCCCTATTCTGACGGAGCTGGTGGTATTGCTCAACGTCATTTTACACAGCCGTATTAGTTTCGCGGGGATACCAAATTCAGACATCGCGGCATAAAGGCAACTTCTCTTCGTGCTGTCGAAAGCGGCTTTGAAATCGACAAATAGATGGTGTGTGTCGATCCTATTCTCGCGGGTCTTTTCCAAGATTTGGCGTATTGTGAATACCTGATCTATGGTGGATTTTCCAGGCCTAAAGTCACACTGATAAGGTCCAATCAGTTCGTTGACGGTGGGCTTCAGTCTTTCGCACAATACGCTCGATAAGACCTTGTAACCAATGCTTAGAAGGCTAATTCCGCGGTAGTTGGCGCGTATGGCGGGGTCGCCTTTCTTGTGGACTGGGCAGAGCACACTTAAATTCCAGTCGTCGGGCATGCGTTCATCTGACCATATTCTGCATACGAGCTGATGCATGCACCTCATCAGCTCCTCATTGCCTGCATAAAATTTTAATACCAAAACTTTGTTGCTCTGTACGTTTATTTCTGCCATGCTTTCTTCTTTTTATAGGAGAAGCAACCTTTGCTGCCTTGTAACGTTTGTTGCTGTTGTTGATGACATTATGCCACGACAGAAATTTGTAGTCATCATGAAAGTGTCATCGACACGTTTCACGTATCGGCGATCATTCGTTTTGTATTTTTGCGCTTGAAGCGGGTGGCTTTTTTGTGATGAAGCCATTTTTTTTTTTTAATTTCTCATTCTCGTTGGAGCTTCTGAACGCATATCCAAAGATAGTTTGTTCATTTCGATCCTTTTTGAGTAGTTTTCTTTAGTTTTTACTAAGTTTATTTGCAGTTTTTTCTTATTTGTTATCGCTTTTTGGTGTCACTCTATTCGTCTTAAACTTACTTAAAGAAAATTAAAGGCTTTTCAAGTTGATTTTACCGGCGAGAAACGTCATTGCTGTTTGATAGGTCACTCACGCGAAAGACACAACAAATAAATTGAAGAAGGCAGTTATTTTGCAGTTCTGTTCGAAGTAAAAATAATATATATAGGCTTTTCAATGTTTACCGAGCCCAAGGTTTTCTCCAAGCGTTCTTTCCAGCGTCGAACTTATGTATGTATGTATATTTAGCTGGCGCAAGGACGAAGTCTCCTTTTCTGTTGCCAAGAGCTACTTTGTCTTGTCCTTGTTGCCCGCTGTTCTAACCTATTTCACCTCTTTATTTAAGTTTGCGATCGCAGGGCCTTTAAGGTTCTTCTCAATTCAAACGGAGCTTAAGGTTGAGCTCAACGCCCTTTTTTCCGTGCTGCCAAAATCTAATTTAAAATCAGAGAAGGTGGATTTTTCAGATTTTAAGGACTTGTAGGAACTTGGGACCATAAACGATATTGAAAATTTTGGTTCCATTCTAATAAATAAGGCATACTTGCCGTCGATATGTCATATACTCCGCGTACTTTTTTTCTCAACTTGTCTGTGTCGAATGGCTATTACTTACACCGAAATACAGATAAGAGTTTTTTTCAAGGATTTTTCACCATCTTAGGGTATTGAGTACCGTTAGTGAGTTACCGTTTTTGTAGTAACCTACAATTCTCCCGGTTTGGAAACATTATTTTGCTGCCTTGTCCTTTTCTAAAGTACATTTTCCTCTTCACTCGGTATCACGTCGCACGAGAAAAATCCTTGGAAAGATGATAAGCTTTTCGCAGACTATGCTATCGTTCTTCCTGCTTTTATCTTGTGATTTTTTTCTTTTTATTACATTTTTTTTTTTTTCGTCGATTACTTAATAGTCCCATACATATTGTCGCCGTGTATGGCAATGTCTGCTTGAGGAATTTACATTTATATATTACACTCGTACGCATAACTTATTTATTGTTTATGGAAATGATCAATGAATGATGAATAGCATAGGAAATGCTGAATGTGACTGGCATTGTTAGCTGCAATCAAGGACAGAAGAAAATACTTATTCAAACTTTACACATCGATATGATTGTAGCGTGTTATTTAAGATTTATTATTGTTCTTAGTAACTACTTTTTAAATCGCTAATCACTTTCAACACTCACTCACTAAATTGTTTTCTTCCATTTTCCAGGCACCCCACTCGCTTATGCGGCGAGTCAACCCGATGCCGACCAGAAAGGACCCGTTTTCCTCAACGAACCCATTAATCGCATTGACTTCTCCAACTCAACAGGTGCCGAAATCGAATGCAAAGCCAGCGGAAATCCTATGCCTGAAATTATATGGATTCGTAGCGATGGCACTGCTGTTGGTGATGTACCTGGACTGCGCCAGATCTCATCAGATGGCAAATTGGTCTTTCCACCATTCCGTGCCGAAGATTACCGACAAGAAGTGCACGCTCAAGTTTATGCTTGTTTGGCACGCAATCAATTTGGAACCATCATTTCACGCGATGTGCATGTGCGAGCAGGTGAGTTGTCGAAGTTCTAGAGAGAGAAAGACGCTGAATTTACCAGATGAAAGTTGGAGGACTTAGTAGGGACGGTGATAGCCAAAATAGCAAACTCTGTAAAGCAATGCGCTTTGGCGCTACTATTAAACAGTTGCTCGAGATGTTACAGAAGAAAATAAAAAACCCGTTTAGAGTGAAAATTGGTTGTTAAAATAACTATACATATAATATACATATATCTTCAAAGTTTGAGAAATGTAGTATATGAAACCCATACGGAATCTTACTCCGAATGAAAGTGGTAATAAAACTCCATTTCTGTTAATCAATATTCATAATTTTTCGTTCGAAAATTCATGAAAATATAATAAAAATTTATTCACTCAGTAATTATCGCTCTCGCAAGAGGATATTAAAGTTTTTTCAAAACTGATAAGGAGTTAACATAAGTTTTGATTTTCTACTATTGATTGTTACTTGAAAAAAATTATTTCGATTTTGCAACTGTAATTATGGAATAATATAACCACCTTTAACTTAATGTTCATCGAGTCCTCCAACTCTCGCTAGCTCACACATTCCCCAATAAAATTTATATATAGCTTCCAATGCTGCATACCAGTTCCATCGTTGGTTTAACGCAGCGTGGGTATTTTCACTCTTTACGCTGTGTGTTTCACTTGTTCAGCTGTACGGTTATTCTTCTGACCACGTTGGTGTCGATTAAACGATAATTTTTGCAATGTAAGGCCATTTAATTTTCAAACAATTTAAACACTTCAGAAATTCTTCTTTAATTCGTACTGTCTTGACATTTCGTTTGTGGTTCTACATTAAAAAAAAATCGTTAATTGCTTTTAAATTGTATTTCCGGTTGTCATAATTATGAACCGTTCACACGCGCATCATTTACCCATAAACTTGCAAAGAAGCCTACAAACACGAACTTTACAAACGCATTCCTCTACGCGCCAGCATGAATATGCTTACAATTAGTCACTGCTTATTTGCTTTTATTGGGGCTTTTATAGCGGCTGCATTTAATTGACAACGTCATATTAATGCCTTGACACTTTATTATGTGCTTAGTGGCACAAACAGCAGCGTTGCATTTGCTTAAAATTGACATAGTCATTGGAAAAGCGTGTGTGTGTAATGTGAGTGATGCTTCCACACATTACGCATTGTTGCAGCCTTTTACAGTTAACAATGCCACTTCCTCTTTTGTATTGATTGTGTAGTACTCGAGAGTGCATATGCATGCGTATGCTTTTACTCATCTATAAAGGGATTTATGGAAAATTATGAAATAAATACTCTTGCAAATTTGGTTGCATTTGCTATTTTGCATAATAATTGACAGTTGCTTGTTGCGCAGTGATGCAAATGTGACACAAGCTTTTTTTTATAATCACAAAGGGATGGGCTTCTAAATGAATTCATACAAAATACTTTCCGGTTTGACTAGCAAACCTTTCCAGCTCTTTTCATGATTATATCCGCTTAGCCTAAAAAAATTTTCTTATCACTAAAATTCTTGAATTAACAACAATTGCCGTCATAAATCAACGCGGTAACTGAGCGAAACCGCTAACAAGAGCGCTGTCATAATATGCGGCTTTGTTGAAAGGCTTTATATGATTTTAATTAAAACCAAAGCTAATTATTTCTATTCTACTCAGTAACTTAAACGTCTATTTTTTACGCACATGAAAAACGATTTTCGCATTTTGTACACACCCAAATTTTTTATGCTCTGCTTTTTTACAATTCTAATTACCCTCAGGCAGATTAGTCTGCATGAAAAGCATAAAAGACCATTAAATTTCTTGCTAAAATTAGCATAAATAGGAAGCAGAACCCAAAAAAACGAGACGCGCCTCATGCTGAAACTTTCTTCTTGCCATTAATAAAAAAGAAATTAATTTCAATTTATCACATTTTTTCGGCGCTAAATAGCAGATAAACGCACCTTAAAGCGAGAGAAACCATTGAATGATACACAAACTGACAGTCCCTCCATAGGGTGTATTGCGTGCTTAAGGTGGGCTACTCAGCTGCTTGCGTCTAACAACCTGTAACAAAGGAACTTGCACAACTAGCTCTCCCATATTTGGCGCCCGTTATGCCACTTGCGTTTCGGTTTTCTTTAAACACTTTTCGCTCAATTACCTCGATATGTTGTACATATTTGCATGTCATACCAGCGCCGCGTCATAAGCTTAAGTATAATTTAAGCGTTAATAAATTTACTTAGACAATGTGTCACACAAGCGCTGAGCTGATACATTAAATGCTAACGCGCTGTGAAGCAGATGCGTTGTAATAATTTTGGCAACTGAAACGAATAATCGCCGCACGTCACGTCAACACGAACTACTTTGTACATGCGGCCCAATTTAACATTGCTAATAGACATATGTACATACATACAGCAAATGAACCAATGTACATACTTCTATACACAAATACTTATCTAATGAGCAGTGAGTGACAATGTTAAGTTAAGGTAACATTACTTAAATGCGCGGAAGTAAACTACATAAATGCTTGTAAATAAAATATGAAAATTCCTTTACTAGCTGTCTCCACATGCTTGAGGTGTGGCACAAACTGTTGCTGCTGCCGCGTCACCCCACCCGAACTGTCATCTAAATTGTGATTTTAATTTAATTACACGAAGGCAGGTAGTCGAAAGATGATGAGAAAAAAAGAATCCAGAGAAATGCGTACAAATTTTGTTTATTTTGTAAACGCTTGTTTTAACCAAGCCAACGCAAACAAACTGACAGTGGGGGTATTAAAAGTTCGCAGGAAAATGTAAACTGGCGAACCAGCGAAAGTAATTTAATTAAATGCGCTTGGGTAATCATTTTATTATATGTTAAAGTGCCATTACACGGGTGCACACTAGCAATGAGTTTAGATCACTGATGGGAACTGCCTTGCCCGCGGGCAAAGCTCCTTTAAGCTTTCTATACATTTTGTATAGGCGCGTGTAGAGCGAAAGCTCTCTGTACGCATCGTACAGTATCTAAGTTAGAATCTACTTTATTTAACCTGATGGTGTTTCTTGAAACGAACTGGCTCACAAAATCGTCTAAATAGGATGACGAAAACAATAGATGCTATGGAAATGGTCCTGGATTTACAGTTGGAATTTAATTATGTCACGTACACGTTGCCCTTGCTATTTTGTCATTTTGGTGGCCTCAGGTAGCTCTGAGATTGTATGGCCCTGGTCCTCAACCCTTGCCACTATGAGGCAGGTTGGAAGATACGCATATCCTTGCCGTTGTTTTTTATTTTCCTAAATACCAAAATTCGAAGATCCAATAAACTGGAGTAAGCGACCTAAGGGCCTAGATTTCATCTAAACGTCTAACGAAAAGTTGAGACCGAAATCTCATTATTGCGTCGATCCTCAGGTTTCAAGTAGCTTCTTACGCCCAAAGCAAGGTCTATTAAAAAAGTTCGAATTACGTCCCACAAACGAAATGTCAAATGCGTAACAAATTCTCAAAAATTGCCAGTTTGAACGGCAGAGGAATCCGTTCGTACCAAATCGTAAACTCACAAAAATAATTTTCCCCACCCCTCACATTCTAGTGGTCGCCCAATACTATGAAGCCGATGTCAACAAAGAACATGTAATTCGCGGCAATGCGGCGGTCATCAAGTGTCTCATACCTTCATTTGTAGCGGATTTCGTTGAAGTCGTCTCCTGGCACACGGATAGTGATGAAAATTATTTCCCTGGAACTGAATATGGTGCGAAAATTAAATCAATTGAACTACAAAAATCGGATATAGATTTACAAAATGGTGTAAAAGCATCCCTACCCCGCTCGTTATGAAACACAAAAATTACGGTTGTTGTCGTTAGCCTTAGATTCCACTAATCGCACGTCGGTAGTAAAATGCTCTCGAAGTATTTTTTTCATGAATGCGTGCTGCTGCTGGTTGCAAAATTTTCAACAAATTGCATTTCCCGTCCATGGAATTATTCTTAATTTCTACTTTTTCATCACATCATTTTGAATTTCATTCTATTATCTCTATTTAAACTTAATTATTTGAGTCATTTCATTATTTATTGGACTTTACTTTCTATCGCATACACTTTCATATTACTATTTTCCATGTTTGCATTTATTTCATCGTTTCATTTCCTTTGGCTATCAATACCTTTGCCGCATCATTGCAGTCGTTTCCCAACACTATGAAGAGGATATCCATAAAGCATTTGTCATACGCGGCAATTCGGCCATTTTGAAATGTGACATACCATCATTTGTGGCCGACTTTGTTAGCGTCATATCCTGGCATACCGATCAGGAAGAGAGTTTCTTTCCGGGCACTGAGTATGGTGTGTTTCCAATTGAAAATTCAACTACGTATTTAATTGTCTAATGTCCTAATAAATATTTCAAATTACATAAATTAGAAAATTGTCTATTCTCACCATTAATAATTTTGTACAAATAGTATAGTACCAAAAAATTTACCAATAATCCTGTAATATACACAAAATGTCTAAACAAAAAAATGCTGAAAGCAAAAAATCAAACGAACAATCTTACACTACTTATAAAAAACAATTTTTTATTGGCCTAACATTTACTCGATCTAAATTAATCAACACCAATAACGTAAACAGTTCGTAGAACAAACTTAAGAAAAACTACGTTGTACAACACTCACTGTAAATTTAAAGGTAACAAATTGACAAACTGCAGTTCACTTCAAAGCAATACTTTATAATTGTCTACTTGAAATGTGGAGTAACACAGCACGCTGATATTCACCGCAACTAAAACTCACCAATCTGTATCATACCACATTTACTCTATAAATCAGCTGTGGCTGTCTAAATCAGCTGTTTTGTTTTATCCTTAAGTCCAGCTGCTGTGAATTTTGTTTCAAGTACATATCATTTCTTTATCTTAGATTTGCTTACGACAACGGGAAGTTTCTTCTTTTAGATCTTTTTCCTCTTAGTTAAAAAAATATGTTTC